ACATTGATGTTCAACCTGTCTCAATACACAAGAAAAGAAGGATGCTTAGATTTTAAAGGCCATACATTTAAAGCAGATAAAAGGAAGTATTTTTTATGCAATATATAATAAACTTGTGGAATTTACTGTTGAAAGCTATTACTGGGGAAAAGAATTTTGTAAGATTAAAAAACATTTGACATTTACGTGAATAATATTTGCAATTATTCTAGCTGCTGTATGATAAAATGTTACAAGAGCAAAACAGGGCATTTTGTTCCTTTATGGTAATACACAGCCAAAGTGACCCTATTTCTTGTGTTAGGGTTGTTCTGAGAGGTGAACAGTGCTGCTGACTGTTATGGCTTTATTGTGAGTATAGCAATATTTGATTTTTTTAAAGGTCCTGAAGTTGTGATTAGGTGAGAATATGAGCTTTCATTAATTTTTTTCTAACTCTCAAACTTCTGTCGACAAAAGCCTGTAGTCTAGACGTATCCTCTAGGGAAGGGCAAGCAATCATGAAAAGCCTTGTGTTCAGGGTGTTTGTTGTTTTCCATGTGATCTGTACTCTTCTGTACTTTGTCTCTTACTTAACGAGCAAGAGTGTTTTAGAATCTTATGTATGTCTGCACCTCTGTGTTTGTGCTACATTTATCACATGCCCCTGAAGAGTTAATGTGGGTGTCGCCCACCAGGGTTTTGTGGGATGGTGAATCCTCCTCGCGGATGACAGGAGTACTCCATCCCGAGTTTACTCGAGCCCCACTTTGCCTACGGCAGCGAGTCTGCACAACCAATTGGGCCAAATCCTTCAGCACAGCAGCTCATCCCCCACAGGGCAGTATCCAGGAGTCTCTAGTCCATAGGTCCCTTTAGGGGTACGGCTCCTGGCCTTTCTACTGACCAGAGTTGAATTATGTCCAAATAGTTTCACAGTCTTGGGTCCTGCAGCCAAGTTAGTTCATCCCTGGCGGCAGCCCCTAACGTGATACGGGTGTGTCCTAGTTTGTGGGGTGGGGTAGGGAGACCCGAGCCCTCCCTCTCAACGGGTCCTGGCCCAGAGCCCAAAGGATAGTGGTTCCTCCCACTATCTGACTGGTGGGGGAAAAACTGCAACTCACCAGCCCTCACGAGCCAAGTTTACTCCCTGCCCTGGGCCTCTTCCTACCTCTCTTAGGGTATGTCTACACTACCCTCCTATTTCAAAATAGGAGGGTAATGTAGGCATACCGCACTTGCAAATGAAGCCCGGGATTTGAATTTCCCGGGCTTCATTTGCATAAGCCGGGCGCCGCCATTTTTAAATCCCGGCTGGTTCGAACCCCGTGCCGCGCGGCTACACGCGGCACGAACTAGGTAGTTCGGACTAGGCTTCCTAGTTCAAACTACCATTACTCCTCATTCCATTCCATGAGGAGTAATGGTAGTTTGAACTAGAAAGCCTAGTTCGAACTACCTAGTTCGTGCCGCGTGTAGCCGCGCGGCACGGGGTTTGAACCAGCCGGGATTTAAAAATGGCGGCGCCCGGCTTATGCAAATGAAGCCCGGGAAATTCAAATCCCGGGCTTCATTTGCAAGTGCGGTATGCCTACATCACCCTCCTATTTTGAAATAGGAGGGTAGTGTAGACATACCCTTAGATACTTCTGTGACGCCCTTTTCCTGGTGAGCTGGCAACAGGTCTTACCCACCAACACCATCTTCTTCCACATTGAGGCAATGGTCTGACACGTGTGGGCAACTCTGCATCGGTGCTACCCTCAGAAGTCCATGACCTGCTGGCCTGGTTGTTCGCTTGGGACTCTCCTGGACAGGCTGGCAGGCCAGGTCTATCCCAATTAATCAGTGAAGGGTTGGTAACCGGCACCTCACCTGGTGGCTTTTCCCCCATGATGTCCGCCAGCCCTCCGGTCTGGCTGCTCCTTGACAGGGGTCTGGGAGGTGCTTCTCTGACCTCCCCTTCAGATCCAGGTAGCCTCGCCCCTGGCAGCCTCCCCTCGGGCTGCTCAGGGGCTCCTAAAGGTTCAGGTTCTTCCTGCTTGGGACCTCCCCCCACTGCTACAAATTCTCTCCAGCTTTCTGCCTCTGCCACTTCCACGTAGGCGCTCTCCACCGCCTCCACCCCATTGCCGATGCACCCCTCCTCCCCTGCCGGTTGCGCCAGCTCAGGTTTTAACGCCACCGTGTAGCTGCCAGAGCATGTGCGGCAGCGTCTGGGAGCGCGCCTCTGCTCGCCCCAGAGAGCAGAAACCCTCTCTCTATGGGGGTGTGGTGGGGCAACCCCATCACAGTGGGAACCCAAAGTGCCTACGAGGGTGATAGTTCTCAAAAGTGCTGTGCAGGTGTTTTCATGCAGCAAGGAAGGTTTAGGTTAGACATTAGGAAAAGCTTGCCAGCTGTCAGGGTGGTTAAACACTGGAATAAATTCCCTAGGTAGGTTGTGGAATCTCCATCATTGGAGATATTTAAGAGCAGATTAGCTAAACATCTATCAGGGATGGTCTAGATGGTGCTTGGTCCTACCATGAGGACAGGGAACTGGACTTGATGACCTCTCGATGTCCCTTTCAGTTCTAGTATTCTATGATTCTACAATTCTATCCTCTAAGGATCGGGTAGGGAGGCAGTCTGTAAAGACAATCCTTGCATAGAATTTCTCTGGGGCATTAAACCTTTGTTCGATTTCCCACACCTGTGGAAAAATACCAAATTCAAGATGGATTCCAGCAGCAGGTGGCACAGACACATGTCTTTATAGCACCTCTGCAGGGAGGCAGTTCTTCCTCACTCAGTTGTCTCTTGTTAATGGGTTATTGGCTATGTTTCTTGCCTCTTCATTGTTGTTCCTGAAGGGCTGGAAATAGGCTTTTCTCAACATGAACACATTGAAAATAAATCTACAGACAATATTCTTAATTTCGGTACAGAAATGGTACATGCATACAAATCAAATATGCACATCCAGGGGATTACAAGCTTTCCAATGTAGGTTACATGCAATATTTTGCATAAAGCATATTTGAGTTAGGTACATTCATATTCATAAGCCTATTTCCATAAATATGGGGTGCAATGTCACATTAAGTATAGGATACTACTTCAGGTACAATACTGAAGTAAATGGACCTATGCCCCTACCATTATCTCCATTAACAAGGTCCTTCAAAATCCAAAATACATATGTTTCTATTTGAAATAAATCAGGATTTGGGGAAATGCTCGCTTTCTTTCAGAAGCTCCTCAGCCTAAATCCAATGAGGAATTGAAATTAGACTCCATTCTTAAATGTGACGTGAATGAAATCCTGTGATTGAAGCTAAGTCAATGGCATACTGCCTTTCACAAAGCTAACCATGCACCTGCCTGTAATAATGTACTACATCAGAAGACACAGAAGTGGTGTCTGTTGAAAAGCCAAAATCATGCTCTAAGGTAGGAACAGGCCTGCCAAACATACTGTACTTGGTATTAGAATGCTGCCATGGGTTACGCCTGAGTAGACATAGATGATATGTCCACAAGCTGTAAGACATCTAGAAAAACAGCCAAGGGGGAGCAAAATCAGAGCTGTAGTAGAAGAATGGAGCAGTGCCAAATTACTACTGAAGCTGCCTATATGTGCCAAATAGCTTTCTAATTGCATTGCTATCAACAAGACAAAATTGTGTCTCTTTAAAAACATATGTGAGTATTCACAGTGGGGCTAGAAAACAGACAGGGAATTTATATGGAGTGCCAGGTAAGAAGTCTGTTTTGCAGGCATACTTGGGTTGTAAAGACCCAGGAAACCTAGTTTTATTTCCTCCATTTGAAGCATTAAAAATGCAGAAAGTAGAATATCATGGGACTAATTCCATGAACGCACATAAATTGTGACATGTCTGACTAGAAAAGGTAGCACGCCAGAAACAAACAAACCAACAACAATGTAGAGTTTAGTTTGACTGCTTTTACATTTAAGATTAAGGGATATTGGGGGTGCCAAGGCTGGTTTGTAAGAGGGTACACAGTGTTGCGCTGCAATTTCTACAGTTTCAGGCTCTAGAGTGGGCAATAATTTTGATGGGGGACCACTCCAAGATTTTGTTCAAGGGCTATCCTGTTCGGGGGGGGGAGGGGGCGCTGTAGGGTCTGGGGCTGTGTCTAGACTACACAGTTCTTCCGGAAAAAGATAGCAAATTGTGAACTGCAATTTGCGTAGCTTTTTCCACTTGTTTTTTCAGAAGAGGCTTTTCCGACATTTTTCCCATTGGGTCAAATGTGGGAAAAAACCCCTTTTTTGGATCATCCCTTCTTCCTTGTAAAATGAGGTTAACAGGATACCAAAAACGCATCTGCTCTTCTGAAAATTTTTTTGGAAGAGCAGTCACATTCTTTGGATGTTGAAGAGTTTTTCCGGGATTCCTCCAGTATCCCAGAAAAACTCTACAGTCTAGATATACCCTGGAATGGATATTATATGCAGAAAGGAGATTGGGACAGGAGACTGGGGAGCAAGAGAGGGAGTTTGGGTGAAGGAGAGGGTTGTGACCTGGAACAGGAGCTTGGGGTGCAGGGTCTGGGAGAGGGTGTGGGTGCAGGAGCAGAGTCTGATCTGGTGGAGGGATGTAGGAAGGGAAGCAGAGTCTAGGAGGGAGTTGTGACCTGGGGTGGGGGGAGGAGAGTGCAGAGGGTTTGGGTAGTGACCTGGGGAAAGGGATTTGTTTGCAGGATCCAGAAGCGGGTTTTAGCGTTGAAAAGGATTCTGGCCTGGGGGAGGAGAGTAGGAAGGGGTGCTGTGTCTGGGAGGGAGTTGGGTGTGCAAGAGAATGAGGTACCTTAGGCAGGCTCTGACTGTCAGGCAGTTACCTAAATAGCTCACAACCAGCAGTGCTCTTAGGGAGGCTTTCCTAATTGCTAGAAGCCCCAGAGCACTCTGTTCCATGTGGCTCTTTGCACTGGGGGAAGGGAAGGCTTTGTGTGCTGCCCTTGCCCCCAGCAAAATCTCTCAGCTCCTGTTGGATGGAAACTGGCCAATGGGAGCTGAGAAATTGTGCTGCACTGCCTCCACGCCCAGCAAAATCTCTAATCACCCATTGGCTAGTTTCTGGCCAATAGGAACTGAGAAATTTTGACGGGGGTGGGGCAGTGTGCAAAGCCTCTGTCCCTCCCGCTGCAGCTACTTTGAGGGGTGTTGTTTCATGCCGCAGGGACAGGAGGGCCAGATTGAAAGGGTTGGCAGGCCTGATTCTGAGTGCGGGGTGTTTCTCTTGCCCATTCCTGGTCTAGAGAATGTGAGGGTATCTGAGATGTAAATTCCTACAGATTAAAAGTAACAATAGCAGAGTAACAGTGTTGTAATTTCCTCAATGATATCCTAGTATTGTTGCATTCTGAGTGATACATAAAGATCCACAGTTGCAGTAGGTCATCACTCCCCAGATCCAACAAGTTTGTGTTAACGGTCTGCTTTCTTTTAGATTTCAGGAATTCCAGTCTTGGACTATTTACTGTAAATGTCTCCTGGCTTCTGCTTGAGAAGGAAAACAGTTTGCTCCAATGGGAGGTAGTCCCTCATGAGATTCTTCTAGCTGGCCCCAGTAGGGGACAGGCTTGTCATCCATACAAGCAGGATATGTCACATGCCAAAGTCAGCAGAAACAAAATATATGACACATCCTCTGTCTGAGGTTTTGTATCCCTACAAAGCCAAGCAGAAATAAGACAATATGGGGAACCAGGTCCAAATCAAGCATTCAGTACAAACATTTAGACACCTTAGTCCAAATCTGGATTATGGGACATTTCCATAAAGCTTGTAAGAGGGAGCAACTGGGGAAGCATCTCTTAGATACATCTGGAGACAATTTATGACATCTGTTGTATAATCGTAAGCTTGTAAGTCCCATGTGAAAAGCAGTGTTTTTGGATCAAGATGCCAATGACTGAAATTTTTTGTTTGATATAATCCACTGCCAAGTCCCACACACTTTGAAACAATGCCCCTTTCCAGCTGATTGTAACTCTGTGTAACCTCTTGATCTTGCTGGTTTGGGGGCTATTTATTAAGAGGAGTTTGGGTGGGTGGATGGATGGATGGATGGATGGAGCTGGGATTTTTCTTTGTTGACCCTTACTAAAGTGTTTAACTAGGAGTGATTAGAAAGACTTTCTGTAAAGCATTTTATATCAACATTTGTGTTCTCAAACTACATGAGGTTAGAAAATGTTTATACCCCTCTTTTTCTCACTTCTGGTTCACGAGCCCAGATTGGAAGATGTGGGATGTCCTTTTACCACAGAATGGCCATCAGAGCACCTGTGCTTTTTCCCTCTGGAACATCCATACTTGCCTTCTTATGCAATAGCTGTAGCGCTAAAAGCAGTTATGCCTTAGAAAAGAAGGTTTACCTATGGCAGAAAAAGCCCTCTGTTTTGCTGTTTAACTGCCCATTTAATTATGCAAGAGCTCATTTGAGGTGTGGATGCTCCGCAGGTTTTTACACAAAAACAGTTGTTTTTGCGCAAAAACCTTGTAGTGTAGATATAGCCTTAGAGTGGTCTGGCTGGGGCCAGAAACTGTTTAAGAGAGTAAAGTAGGCCTGATGCAAGGCTATGGTTCTTTTGATTTGCTACTGGGTGTATTGCGGACAAGTTTTGTTTTATGTTTCCCCACCCCTAAGGTGGAGGAAGTAACCTAGGGGACAGCCATTTTAGATTCAAGTCTGATCAACAGGGAGTAATTGGTTTTGAGTCTGAATGCATAAGGCAATTGGGGTGAAAGTAAAATGATAGAATCATGACATTTAAGAAAAGGAAAGAGTTGGAGCAGCAGAATAAGAACAATGGATTTTTGAAAAGCAAGCTCAGAAGGCCAGATTGCAGAATATTTAAATAAGGAATATATATTTCAAGTCAGCAGGACTTGATGAAATTCAAGTTTAGATTACCTAAGGAATGAGCTGAAGCAATTTTGGAACTGTTAGTAATTACTTTGGAGAACTCATGGAAAATGGGTGAGGTCACAGAGGAGTGGAGAAGGGTAAACAAAGTTACTGGCCCAATGGTTGAGTGAAAGAAGTAGACATGGTATCTTGTTGGGTTCTTTTAAGTAAGACTTTTAACACAGACTTGCATGCAAGGTTCCCTCTAAGCTGCGTGGCAGCACAGCACTGTTGCTGTTGAATCAGCCCTGCCCAGCCAGGGACTCAAGGCTCAGTGCATGTTGCTGCCTGGCTGGGAGAGGAGCATTTCTCCTTCTGTGACAGCAGCAGCTCCATGCTGAGGACCAAGCAGAGAGTTTCTCCCATCTGGTAGGGAGGGGATGTGTCATAGAATCATAGAATCATAGAATAATAGGACTGGAAGGGACCTCGAGAGGTCATCGAGTCCACCCCCCCGCCCTCAAGGCAGGATCAAGCTCCGTCTACACCATCCCTGACAGATGTCTATCTAACCTGTTCTTAAATATCTCCAGAGAGGGAGATTCCACCACCTCCCTTGGCAATTTATTCCAATATTTGACCACCCTGACAGTTAGGAATTTTTCCCTAATGTCCAATCTAAACCTCCCCTGCTGCACTTTAAGCCCATTACTCCTTGTCCTGTCCTCAGAAACCAAGAGGAACAAATTTTCGCCTTCCTCCTTGTCACACCCTTTTAGATATTTGAAAACCGCTATCATGTCCCCCCTTAATCTTCTTTTTTCCAAACAAAACAAGCCCAGTTCATGAAGCTTGGCTTCATAGGTCATGTTCTCTAAACCTTTAATCATTCTTGTCGCTCTTCTCTGTACCCTTTCCAATTTCTCCACATCTTTCTTGAAATGTGGCGCCCAGAACTGGACACAGTACTCCAGCTGAGGCCTAACTAGTGCAGAGTAGAGCGGCAGAATGACTTCACGAGTTTTGCTTACAACACACCTGTTGATACAACCTAGAATCATATTTGCTTTTTTCGCAACAGCATCACACTGTTGACTCATATTCAACTTGTGGTCCACTATGACCCCTAGATCCCTTTCCGCCATGCTCCTTCCTAGACAGTCGCTTCCCATCTTGTATGTATGGAACTGATTGTTCCTTCCTAAGTGGAGCACTTTGCATTTCTCTTTATTAAACTTCATCCTGTTTACCTCTGACCATTTCTCTAACTTGCTAAGGTCATTTTGAATTATGTCCCTATCCTCCAAAGAAGTTGCAACCCCACCCAGTTTGGTATCATCTGCAAACTTAATAAGCGTACTCTCTATCCCAATATCTACATCGTTGATGAAGATATTGAACAGTACGGGTCCCAAAACAGACCCTTGAGGAACTCCACTTGTTATCCCTTTCCAGCAGGATTTAGCACCGTTAACAACAACTCTCTGACTACGGTTATCCAGCCAATTATGCACCCACCTTATCGTGGCCCTATCTAAGTTATATTTGCCTAGTTTATCAATAAGAATATCATGCGAGACCGTATCAAATGCCTTACTAAAGTCTAGGTATATAACATCCACCGCTTCTCCCTTATCCACAAGGCTCGTTATCTTATCAAAGAAAGCTATCAGATTAGTTTGGCATGACTTGTTCTTCACAAACCCATGCTGGCTATTCCCTATCACTTTATTACCTTCCAAGTGTTTGCATATGATTTCCTTAATTGCATATGATTTCCTTAATTATATGTGTCCTTACAGGCTGGGAAAGTCTCGCTGCTCTGTCCTCAGCAAGAAGCTACTGCTGTGTCTGAGGGCAAAGTGCTCTTCCCCCAGCCAGGTAGCTCCATGTGTGTCCTGAACCCCTGGCTGGGTGGGGCTGATTAGGCAGCTGTGCTACCATGCAGCTTAGAGGTAACCTTGATCACATGAGAATCTCATAACAAATTAGGTAAATACGATCTAGCTGGAGTTACTATTAAAGTAGGTGCATGACAGAAGAACATATCTAGTGAAGCCCTGGCAGGGATCAGGCCCAAGTATGGGACTAGTCAATATTTTCACTGATGGCTTAGAGAGAGTGGAGAATTTAGAGCTTGTAAACTTTGGAGAACAGAATTAGAGTTCAAAACAACCTTGACAAATTAGAGAACTGGTCAGAAATCAACTACTGAAATAAATTAAGACAAATGCAAAGCAGTACACTTAGAAGGGAAAAGCATCAAATGCACAATTATAAAACAGGGAATAACTGAAAAGGATCTGGAAGTCATAATGGCTCACAACTTGAGTCAGCATGTGGTGCAGTTGAAACAAAGCTAATATCAGTCTGAGGTGTACCTGGCCCTACAGTCTTAGGGTACGTCTACACTAGTCCCCTAGATCGATCTAGGGGGCTAGTGTAGACGTACCCTAAGAGTCTAGGTAGCAGCATACTAACAACATGTTCAGGAGTGTAAGTGGCATTCTCTTCCCTATTACACCCATCTCTAGGAATCAGTGAGTGGAACAGTGAAGCTGTATCCTCAAAGTTTGCCTAAAAGAAGAGTTTTTGGAAACCACAGAAAGTGGTTAGCAGGTCAGTTCCTGGCTGGGACAAGGAGTGAACAGTGGGTCCTTCTTTCTCGCCAAAGGAGTCTGAGAATAGTCAAGAGTTTGTGCTGATTAGAACTTGTGTAGCTTGGACTACAGAAAGAAGGACCTGAGACAGGGCAGGAGATAAAAGGCCCAAGGAAATAGCAAAAGTATTGAGTTGAGCAGTAGGTGGTTGATATTTTTTTAGGGTACTTGGGTTGTAAACATGAGTAGGGGGATGAGGCTGTATTCCACTACTGGCCACAGACAAAGTGGTGTAAACAAACCCCAAAGAAAGGGACAGGACTTTTTGGGGTTCTGAACAAGAGTTTGAATTTAAAGGGTCCAGAACCAGGGCTGAAGTTTCTAGTGAGTGTCAACAGACTCTTACTGGACTCTTTAACACAGAAGAGGTCATTTGGACTTCATGTCTTTGCAGGAGGGCCAAGCCACTGAAGACCTGTCAAGGTCAGCCAGCAGCCTGCAGGGGAAACCAAGGTGTGAGAAAATATAATATTCCATACAGCCTCTTGCCTGTGCTCCGGGGTGCATACCCTGTTACAGGTCTATTAACAGGAGTGTCCTGGGTAAGACACAGGAGATAACTACTGTATCCTGTTCTACTTGTAAGTTATCAGCTGGAATTCTGTGTCTAATACTTCAAGAAAGATGTGGACAAACTGGAGTGAGCATAGGCTACTGGTGCCTGTGCAGGGAGGGCCATGCAGAGGAACAGTGAGGGGGCATGAGGGAGTACCCTATTTAGAAATCAGTTTTGGCAGGAGCCCAGTGGGGGCAGTGCACCTTCTGAGTGCTGCCATGAGGTGCCTATGGGAGCAAATCGAGAGACGATAACCTGACCTATGAGGAAAGGTTGAACTGGATATTTTTCTTTTTTGAGAAGAAAAGACTAATCAACTTCTTGTGAAAAAATTCTCCAGATTTCTGACTTGGATTTTGGAAAAGCTAGAAATGTGACCATTTCCACAAAGGCTTCATCTAGATTTTTACATAGGAATTTGAAAACTTGTCTGAAGCGGACTCCTAGGCACTAATTAATAAAGTTGGTGGCAAGATTCCCATTGACTACAATGGGAGCAGGAGCAGACCATAGAAAGCATTTTTAGGGCTGTCAGTCACTTTTAACTTGCGCAATTAACTCATTGCATTGTTAAACAATAAAATACCAATTGAAATGTAAT